AGTAACATTATAAATTAATCTGTCTCAATGTAAAAATACATTAATTGTTGATTTCTGAAGAATCAACAAGTTTATACAAATAATATCAAGTGGTAATTTGGGAAATAGCTTTCGCCACATGAATGGACATATTGAAACTGTTAAGTTCAAGATGTTTCTTGACTTTATTGCCTTGGTTAGGGAATCTGTGTTTGTGTACCTGAGAGTTCTCTTTTAATAATATCCATAAAATTAATATGTTAGGAATTTAAGTAATATTTTAATCTTTAATAATTCACTTTTGATTTAATGAAGGAGCAGCAATATTTAGCTAGTGGACTTAACAACTGAATGTAATTTTGCCTACACCTAAATTTTTTAATACCCAGTTTATTGCCAATATACCAAAGGGCGTCAGGGTGGCCCAAGGTAAAGACAAGTACTGACAGCAGGATGGGAAATTTGGCCCTGAGTATCCTCTAGCAGGTCAAAAATCACTGGCTTCTGTTTTATTAACATTAAGAAGATAATAATACTATCTTCCTTATACAATTACTGCTGATGGTAAGTTAGATATCATATAAAGAACTTACTACAGGAGCTTTCACAGTGTCTTTGATGAATGTTGGCTATTTAGGCTGATACTGGGTCAATCACCTGAAAAGTAACAGTGTTTTCTGTTTTGTTTAGTGCAAGACATATGCTTGTGTGCTAGAAAGTCATCTAATGGGACTCACGATTGACTTTAGCACAGGATTTATCTGCTTTGATGCTGCAACAAAGGTAATGTGATCAAATCAGCTCTGGGAAATGTGCTGCAGACATTCTGATTTAAGAATGATTGAAATAACTTTGAATGCATGTCAGCATTTTAATTGATTATCATGTATTAATTAAATTCAAGGTTCTCATTTTTGTTAATAAAAGTTAAATTGTGCTTTAATCTGTTTATAGAAAAACAAAAAAATTTTAATTTTTATGAAACAAATTTTTGCCACAAAACACTATAACTATATAAAGCATATATATATATATATACATATATACACATATATACATATATACACATATATATATATACACACACACACACACACACACACATTCTCTTTTACTAAAAGTATGGCTTCATATTGAGGTGAAATTTTCCTTCCTCAAAACAATTTTTAAAGCAAAATAACCCTTTATTACTTTTCTGTATCAACACCTCCAATATCTGAATGGGGGAAATATATTTTTTAGTTTTATGGGTAATATGTTAGAATTATAGATGGTGGAACTTGAGGGTTTAAAGTTTCAAGCCAGGGAGTATAATCTTTATAAACACATTATTAATATGGTCTTGTACTCTCTGATTGAGTGCCATTTTCACAAAGGTTATGTCCGTGGGACTGATATATATTGGGGCTGATTAAGGGCATTTTATCAGCCAGTCATATCTAAACAATCTTAAAGCTCAACTGACCCACTATCTACTGCTAATCTCCATCCAGTACAGGAGTCCCTGCTGCAGTTTCTGACTTGGAGCTCTGGTCTTCATTGAAGACATTCTCTTTTCTCCCATAAGGATATCAATTTCTTAGGTGCAACTCACTTCCTCCTTCATCAAATCTTCATCTTAGGTATGACCTAAGAAACAAACTGATATATTTTTCTCACTAATTTTAAGGATTAATGAGAAACCTTTTATTGGGAAACATATTTTGCCTAGAAATTAAACCTTCTAACAAGATTTTCAAAAACAAATACAAATAAAAACAAGACAGTGATATAAATATGTGAGAAAGGCAGAGTGTATAGATAGTAGAAGTGTTTTGATCTTGAGAAAAAAATGGGAGTCTAATGGTGTAGTCCAGCTGGTCACAGACAAGTAGGATGTGGGTTGGAGTTTGGGGGTCTTACTATTTTTCATGAAAAAGCAATCAAAATTGTCACACAAAACCTCACATTATTTAAGGATGGCCAATGTTTCTTTTAATATTGACATTGCAAAATTAAATATCATGCATGCACTGGTCAGAGTTGACTATCCAGTGCATATTTTGAGTAATGTCAAAAGAATGTAAATATGGAATTTTAATATTAATATTAAAAAGAGCAACTTTATTTTTTATTTCTTAACAAGAAATTTTAACAAACAAAATAAACAATAATGAAAAAGTAAACTAAAAGACCAGATCAGAAACTCTTAGGGTAGGAAATGAGAGTCAGCATGATTTTAGATTATACTTGAATACTACTGGTTTGGAAGCAGTGAGGTATCTGGGAATGTCAAGCTGGTTCTCATTACATAATACTTGTGTTTGAAAGTCCCCATAAAAACAATTTTCCTGGATTTTCCAGAGAGTACAAGACACACTAAATAGCATGTACTTTCGTTTACATTAACAACATTGCAGGAGGTTGTACATTCTTCTGGCTCCCATAGTGTTTTTGGGGTTATTACCTCACAGAAGTTTATTGTCATATACATCTCAGCTTGTTCTTTGTAATCTTCATCCTAATTAAAATGTAGCCTTTTCTGTGTTAGAAATAGGTTTTCTCACTAATATGTCAAAGTCTGATGTCATGGTACTTATATAGTTCTCATAGCTAAGAGTATAGATTTTCTGCAATTATATTCCTTTAAACATACATACTCCTATGTGCATTAGTTAATTATATATAATAATAGGTTTCCATGTAAACAGAGACTCAACAGTAATATTTTCAAATAAGTGTTTACTGGATACTTGCTGTCTATAGACAGACACAGGAGGTGTATACATGTCAGTCATGTGTGCTTAAGGAAGGCTTCACAAAATTTGAGACATCAAGAGTAGGATTATCCAGATAAATATCTGTAAGTAAGGAAGGACATTGAATTTGAGGTCAGAAATGAGAGATCAATTGTGTGGCTAACTAAGAGAAGAGGTCCTATTAGAGAATTCAGCTTTGGTGCTAAGAACAAAAGAATACCTTTGAAGAGTTTGAGGAAAAGGAAGAAAATGATCAGAGGTGTATTTGACAATACAAAACTAGTAGGAGAGTATATGAGTAAGACGAGAGAAACTGGGTAAACTACATATTCTAAATTCTTAAACTCTGTCCTCAACTGGGCACCTATCACTCTACAACATTCCTCAGAAAATGATATGTGTGGTTGACAAGGTCAAATAAACACATTTTTACAAATTGAGGGTAACAGTAATCACAGTGTATGTTTAGTATAACTGAAAGATACGGTACAGGAAGGGGATGAAAAGAGACAACACTGAAAAAAAACAACAATAGGGTCTCATTGTCAAGTTTCATTTCATGTTTGACCTAAATCTGATTTTTAAAAAAGTTTTATTAAGATATAGCTAACATACAATATTATATTAGTTTCAGAAGTACACAACAGTTATTTAACATTTATATATCTAAAGAAATGATCACCATGATCACCATGATCACCAGCAATGATCACCAATTATCACTAGGAACCATCTGACACTGTACCATGCTATCATATTGCTATTGACTATATTCCCTATGCTGTACATACCCCTGACTAGTCTAGGGCCATCCTGGCACTATACATAGTTATTGCCATATTATTAACTATATTCCCTATACTTTACTTTGCATCCCATTGACTATTTTCTAACTACCAATTTGTACTTCTTAATCCTATCCCCTTTTTCACCCTGCCCCAACCCTCCTTCCAACTATCACCCTGATAAATCTGGTATCCATCTGAAACCATATATAGTGATTACAATATTATTGACTATATTCCTTATGCTATACTCCACATCCCCATGACTACTTTGTAACAACGAATTTATACTTCTTAATCCCTTCTCTTTTTCAATGACCCCCAAACTCTGTCCCATCTGGAAACCATCAAAATGTTTCACATATCTATAAGTTTGTTTATGTTTTGTTTGTTTATTTTGTTCTTCAGGTTACACATAAAATTGAAATCACATTGCATCTGTGTTTCTCTGTTTAACATACTCCACTCAGCACAATATCCTCCAGATCCTTCCATACTGCCACAGATGGCAAGAACCCATTCCCATCCATGGCTGAGCGATATTCCATTGTATATATGTACCACTGCTTCTTTATCCATTCATCCATTGACAGCCATAAAGGATGCCACCACATATTGGCCATTGTAAACAAGGCTGCAATGAACATGTGGATGCACACATACCCATGAAGTAGTGTTTTGGATTTCTTCAGATAAATACCTATAAGTGGGATTACTCAGTCCTACGTTGTTTTACACTCTATTCAGTCTCATATAAGTATGGCTATCCCAGCTTTTTTTTTTTCTTTCTTTCCCATTTTCATGAAATATCTTTTCCCCATTCCTTTACTTTGAGTCTGTGTGTGTCTTTTGATTTGAAGAGAGTCTGTTATAGGCAGCATATGTATGGATATTATTTTCTTATTCATTTAGTCACACTATCTTTTGATTAGACATTTAATCTGTTTATATTGAAAGTAATTGTTGGTAGATATATATTTGTTGATAGATAGATATGTTATTGCCATTCTAGTATTCATATTTTTCATCTTTTTTTGGTTGTTGTTGTTCATCTTAAAGAAGTCCTTCTATGATCCCTTGTAGTTCTGGTTTGGTGTTCATGAACAACTTGAGGTTTTTCTTGTATGGGAAGCTCATAATCTGTCCTTCAATTCTAAATGATAGCTTTGCTGGGTAGAGTAATCATCATTGTAGGTCCTTGCTTTTCATCACTTTGAATATTTCCTGTCAATCCCTTCTAGCCTGGAAGGTTTCTGTTGAGAAATAAGCTGAGAGTCTTAAGGGAGTTCCTTCATAGGTAACTAACTGCTTTTCTCTTGTTGCTTTTAAGAGTCTCTCTTTGTGTTTAATTTGGCATTTTAATTATGATGTGTCAGTTCAACTTGTTTGGGACACTGTGCACTTCCTGCTTTTGTATATCTATTTTTTTCAACAGGTTAGAAAAGTTTTTAGTCATTATTTCTTCAAATAGGTTTTCAATTCCTTCCTTTCTCTTTTCTTCCGGTAGCCCTATGATGTGAATGTTGGTATGCTTGATATTGTCCCAGAGGCCCCTTAAACTATCCTTAGTTTTTTGGATGCTTTTTTATTTTTGCTGTTCTGTTTGGGCATTTTGTGCTACCTTATCTTGTAAATTGCTAATTTGAAATTCTGCTTCATCTAATCTACTGTTGATTCCCTCTAATGTATTCTTCATTTCAGTTATTACATTCTTTATTTATGACTTTATTTATCTTTATTTATGTTTTCTATTTCCATGTTTATGTTTTCTATGTTTTTGTTGAAGTTTTCCCTGCAATCATTGAACATGCTTATAACCAGTGTTTTGAACTTTGTGTCTCGTAAGTTGCTTGACTCCTTTTTGTTCAGACCTTTATCTGGAGCTTTGTTCTGTTCTTTAATTTGGGACATGTTTCTTTGTCTTTGTATTGGCATAGATTAGCCCCTGGCCAGTCACAGAATGTGAAAGCATTCACAAGACTCTACAAAGTGGAAGAGCAAGAAAGCTTTACTGAAAGTCAGGCAAAGAGAGAAAGAGTTCTGTTTGGAAGAGAAATACTGGCTAAAGGAGTTTTGCCACTGCAGTCTGATAGTGGGTTAAGGGAGATACTGGCAAAAGGAGTTCAACCAGGGGAGAGTCCGAAGGAGACAGCTGTGCTGGGTTTCTGTTTAGCTCGAGTTTCATATTTTTCTAAGCAGGATGTAGGGTGCTTGTCAGCTTGCAGTGGGGAGGGGCTGCCATTACAATTGTCTTCTCCTG